TTACATCATAACTACTTGGTGAGTGGTAAAATGATGAACAACTGCATTGAGATAATTTGCAGTATAATTTAAGTTAAGTTTATTTAAATCTAATTCTAGAGACCAGGAAGGATGTCTTTCAGAATTCAAGCCTCAGAAATTTTTTTATGGGGGCAATGTTTCAATGTTAAAGTGCATTTTGTTGTTACACTGCTAATACAGCAGCTTTCATTAAATAAAACTGTTGTAGTAAAATGGAAATTATGTATTCATTTTTTGTTTTGTTTTTGCTATTTATTTTATCGCAAGTCATATCGTTATCGCAGTATTGATCACAGTTATCGCACATCGCAGATTTTCCTAATATCGTGCAGCCCTAGTCCTCGGTGGAACGATTTGTCCTGTGGGCAAATTGGTGGGGGTCCAGAGTGGGAGGCAGACCGGCCCTGATGTGCTGACAGACCAGTCTCTCAAAGCACTTAATCTCAAAGCACTTGACAGTTTCAGGTGGTGGTGCCATGCGATTTTTAATGGGATTGAAGACTTTGAATTCCTTTGTTTCATGTTTGGTGTGAACACAACATTATTGTGTTAGTGTTATGCTTGGCCATTGTTTGTTATTTGGAGCCAGAATTATTATTGTTATTATAATTCATAAACTGTGCAAATGCAATGCACACTAACAGATGCCTGCTAATTAAACCTAAAAAAGTGCTTTGACAGTTCAACCATCCAGCAGTCTGCTTTTTGTTGATTAAAAATGCTGTCAGGACCTGGGGGGATAGCTACAGCTCTGTATGTCGAGACATCGGACCAAAGTGGCACCAAAAATTAATAAATACATAAAAATATAATTTGTTGCATTTTAAGAAAGATAAAAGTGGTCACAATAGGCACATTTGCTTTTTGTTGCAGGCTGTAAATATGATTTTTTTTTACCTGTAAAGTTTGGGAGTATGGAGATCGACTCAAATTTAGAGGCAGCCTCATGTGGACATTAATGAAACTGCAGCTTTTCTTTTTCATCTCCTGTGGCTTCATTTTACACGCTTAACCTCCTAGGACCTGGCGTCCACATATGTGGACATCACATTTTGGGTTATTTAGACCAAAATACTCAATTTTGCTCTACAGGGGCCTGATATCCACGTACGAGGACATTATACTGCTACTGTTCTATTGAAATTTTAAACGAATATCCTCATATGTGCCTCTAACTTTTCTTAGAAACAAAAATCAGGCAAAAAAAAATATCTGGTAATTCTTTGTTTTTACATTTATCGGGTCCCAATCAG